GTAGACAGCAATGTGATGGATGGGGCCACAGATGTTGGTGGCTTAGATCATAGGGTATAAACCTATAAAGGAGGAGACAGTTCTTTCTGAGAGGAAGACAACTCCGGTAGAGTAGACGAAGACGAGGCAAGGTCCAGAGAAATACCAACAGGGAGCTATGGAACGCGTAAACTACTGGCATCTCAAGTGAAGTCGAGAGACAGACTATAAGCAGAGAAATAGGGTGTAGACTCGTGGAAAGTAACATATGCACTTACAAAGTGACGTTGCAAAAAGGGATTATAGCAACGATACCCTTTCCGTGTTTGAGAATAACTAAGGAAAATACATTTTATAGAGCAGGGATCAAGTTTGTCACCGCCAGAGCTAAAGTTATGAACATAACAAACACAGCCAAAAACCTTTAGAGGTAATGGGTACTGTGGAGATGAGAAAAACAAAAGAGATAAGAAAGATGCACCGTCCAAAATAGAGGATGCCATGCGATTAATAAAATAGCGTAAAATAAGAACAGCATCACTCCAAAAAATTTTAGGAACATGCATATAACAAAGAAGAGCACGCGTAACATCTAATAAATGACGATTTTTACGTTCTGCAACTCCATTTTGCTGTGGAGTATATACACAAGATGTTTGATGATTAATACCTTTGAAAGAGAGATAAGAAGCAAATGAAGCCGACATATATTCTTTGGCATTATCAGAACGCAAAAAATGAATCTTTTTGTTAAATTGTGTTTTGATTAAAGTATGAAAAGCTTGAAAGATAGAAAGTAATTTAGAACGGTTTTCATTAGAAATAACCAAGTCATACGAGAATAATCATCCACAAAAGTGAGAAAATATTGAAATTTATTAGATGAAATGTTAATTGGTCCCCATACATCAGAGTGAACTAACTCAAATAAACCAGAAACACGACTACTAGTACGTAAAGGAAAAGACACACGGTGATATTTGCTAAGCTGACAAGCTTCACGTTCAATGGAGGACACAGTACGAAGACTCACAACTTAACATTTTATAATAAATAGAGAAAGTGGACCAAGACGACAATGCCACTGCGTAGATGAAACAAAGACTAGAGAGCTCGAGGTGAGGAGACTAGTGAAAGTTTCAGGTAATACAAGCCACCAACTTCATGCCCATACCAGTCATCATCTTCGTCTTGAGATCCTGAAAAATGCACACAAAAGGATAAAATGTCACAGAACACTGAAGTAATGTGGTAATTTTACTAATAAATAATAAAGTAAAGGGAAAGCCAGGAATATGAAGGACAGTCGATAAATCAATATTAGGGCCTGGATAGGTATTGGCCAAGCTTGCAGCACTCGTTTGGGAACTGTTAGCAAGAGTGACTTATGTGGAAGAATTAATAGGATGATAATTAATGAGAGAAGTGGACGAACTAGTCATGTGTTAGTTGCTCCAGAATCGATAATCTATGGATTGTGAGAGGCTGACAATAGACAGTGGGAAGGTGTAGTACCTGACTAAGCAAGCGTGGCCATAGAAGTAAAAGCAAACTGTTTATGAGCCAAGAACTCAGCATACTCATCCCGTGGTATAGATAAGAGATCAAATCCTTGTGTAGAGATAGAGTCATTTACTGGTCCAGATAATTGGTGATGGTCATCACTAGACGAGACATGATTGGCAGATCTAGATGGTTTGCCAGGTAAGTTCCAACAATAATTAACGGAGTGACCTACACGACCACAGTTAGTACATTTTCAAGGTTAACAATTTTTCAAACGACCAGTGCCTTTAGTGTCTCGTCCACCCCGAGGACTAAAGCCACGTCCACCCTTGAATTAGCCACCTCGAGCAATAAAAGCATAATGATCTCCACTAGGTATACTATCTGATAGAGTAGAGCGCTGAACACGAGAAAAGGTCTCTGGAAGATTGGGAAGTTCTTTACCACTTAATATCTTTGCCCGGATTGCATCAAACTTTGGTGGAAGTCCAATAAGAAGTTTAATAACATCAATATTTTCCTGCTGTCTTTCCATAACCTTCTAATTAAGAGAGAGGTTGTTGCACATTCCTCTCCTGACACACAGCCAAAAGTTTATTGTAATATTTAACGAGGTTGAAAGAGCCCTTCTCAAGCCCAAAGTACTGTTTACACGTCTCATAGATTCGAGTCACATTTCCAGTTCCAGAATGTACATGTTTAAGATGTTACCAAATCTCTTTAGTTGTGGACATATAGAGGGCGAAAGACCCAATATGAAGCTCAATGCTACTAGTTATAAGTCCAATAATTGCATTATCTTCTTGATCCTAACAATCATTAAGAGTAGAATCAGCTTCTGATGATTTAACAAATGGCTTATCTAAAATCAAGTGGTCAAATAAACCCTTACCCCGCAAGAAGACATCAACACATCTAGCCCAGTAAGTGTAATTTCTTTCATTCAATTATTAGGCGCCATGGGTCCAGTCAAATTGAACATCTCCATTTTGGATGACATAATATTATTTATGCAAACTAGCTAGTTTTTGGACCGTAGAGAATAAGGCTACCAATAATTAAAGACCCACAAACCAACTAATTAGCTCAACAATGAAATTAATAGTAATCCAACACAAGTAGGCCCTAAAATCGACTTGAGCCCAAATATAAAATACACTCAAGTAGCCCAAGATAAATTGATCTATCACAAGACCAACTCACCAAAAAAAAAAAAACCTCACTGTGAATACCACCACTGACTTCAACAATCGAGAGTGTCGAACAGAGATTCAAATAAAATCCAACAAAATTACTAACCAGAGTTGCTGGAGACGAGTATACAGACAAGAGTCGTCGAGTTTTACAACGTACAAGGCTAAAAAATACTTGCGATCGGTAGAAGAGAATTGCTCCGACCAAGACGAGCTACTCTGACCAAGACCCAAACACTAGACCCACCAAAAAATTGGACACCCAACCTTAGATGACGCCTGCAGGTCAGATAGCACAGGGAACTAAGTGCGGCCTACCAGAAAATTTAGCAACCACCCGAAATCACGTGCTCGAGTAAGTCAATTTCTAGCTCTTATACCATGTTTGAGAGAAAGAGTTGGTATGACTATTTAGGGAGAAAACAAACCCTTCTCCTTCACGTTAATTATATATACTTATCAAAAATACACGTGTGGCAATAGAGTCCCAATATGGAAATACAATAAACCTAATTCCTCTTGCCTATTCTAAGTTATTCTACTTAATTTATTTCCTTAACAAGCAAAAATAATATAACTTGTTATATTTAATTTTAAATATTTTATTGTGACCAACAATCAACCGGATGCCCGTGCTCACTCCAAATCCTGAATTCGCCGCATTCTTCATCATGGTTTTGTAACTTTTGTTTACCATTCTAATCATCTCGTTGGCACTCTTCTATAATTTCATGTGAAATTAACATGCTTCTCATTGGCTCAATGGATTGTATTAAAACCAGCTATGCATGAAATTATATATAGATTATAAATTTAAAGAACTAGAGAATTGAAATCTATGATCGAATGGGCAAATATTATTGCAGAAGATATCACAGACTCCTCAAGAGTTCTATTATGAGGAACCAAAAAGAGGAGAATATACCAAGCATGGCTATTAAAAATTACCTTGCAAAAAAAATCTTCCACTTCTCGTTCACGGATGTCATCGGGAAGGTTCTCAACATATAGGTTCTGCTTGAATGACTCATATTTTCCTACTGCAAATCAAACCAGCATTACTAAAAAAGTTATATATCCAAAAGGCGCAAAAAATTCAACAGCACGAGCAAATTTCACATGTAAAGATTTCAATTTCATTATAAAGATTTTTATTTTTTATTTTTTCAAAATCACAAAAAAGTGAAGATGATAGCATAAATGAAAGCAATGAAAATTGGAAAAATTAAGAAAAATAACCCACCTTTCTGCTGTGTTGAAAGTGGAAAATTGAATGTTGGTGGAAAAACATTTAGGAAAGTGATATAATCAAAGAGCGCGTGATTAGTTTTGAAGACTTGAAATGAGAAAACTATTCGAAACTTATAAACACACAAATGTACAGGTGTACGTGTCTCCATGTACATTAATTGTGTATAAATGCCACGACAAAATATTGAAATGCAAATAAAGATTGATGGGAGTCGGAATTGACAAAGCTGAAACTTAGCATAGAGGTTAATGAATAAGAATTCCAAGATTACGAGTTATATTAGTATTGTACTCGAGTAAAATCCCTGATCAGCATAACCAAAGTTTTATAATATTATACCAATATGAATCTACAAATGATGTATCATACTCCAGATATTAAGTGCTTGTTTGTGCCCTATTATTTGTGACTAATGTATTATGGAATAGTTATTGATGTTAAAATGTGTGATTAAAAAAAAGGAAAGATTTTTGAATTACGTATAATATTATTTTGATGAAGAATGTGTGATTGAAAATGAATGCTGTAAACAAAATAATGTCCTTGTTTGAGCCCCATTATTTGAAAAAAAAATGCATATCTAAACAGTGTTTTAACATCATTTCAACTACACATTCTTCAATAAAATAATATTATACACAAATCAAAATTTTTTTTCTCAATTTTTAACTACACATTTCTCATCAATATACTATTCAAAAATATATTTTTTTCTCCCGAAATGGGGCTCAAACAAGGATAATATGATAAAATAGTAGACAAATAAAACCTAAATTCATCTCCAACATTTTGTCTAAAAAATAAATTTGAAAACAAAGAAAAGAAGGCGCGAATGCGGAGAATCCACTCTAGGCAGCAATCAACGTCCATTTGAATTCTTCCATCCGGACCCACTCTGTACGGAATAAATACAAATATACCGTCATTGTACCTCGCGTTCGTAAAACCCTCCATACGATTTGGCCACATCGAACCCTTCCCAAAATCTACGGTCATTCACCACGAGTACTAAACTGACAAACTCTCAAGCGCGTCAAATCCTTAAAAAGTATTCGCAGGAAGGGACTGCAGTAGACGAGAGTCCGTGTCCGTGTTCTATTGAGAAAATACCATATATAACTCGCAAATACTTTTGCTCCACTGCACATTTCTGAGCGTTTGTGAGGGTTTTGGATTTGAGTTTGGGAAAATTATACAGCCATGGCGACGTCGCCGACATCATCGTCTTACTCGTCGTCTTCATCGCCGTTTGTTGCATCGTCGTCGGCGGAGTCGAACTTCTCCGGCCTTCCGGTGATGGCACTGAGGGACAGAATTGTCGAGAAGATTATGGAGAATCGAGTTACTCTCATCGTTGGCGAAACCGGTTGCGGTAGTGAACCTCACGTCAACTTTTTTATTTTTTCAATTTTTTGACATTGCATTATTTGCTCGCGATATCGTTGTTTGATGTTTATAAGTTGCTAATGTTGAAGTCCGAAAGAGCCGCAATTTTCGATCTTTTCTTCCGTTGGCACTGTGTAGACTTTAGTTCCTCTGATCGATCGTCGAGAAACAAAGCCGGATTATATTATACAACCAAGAGCATATTTACAGCCAATAAGATGGAAAAGCCCAAAGTAAACTGCTATGTTTCTCAATACAATCGCACTTCATATTATTATGTGCAAAAAGAAAACTTTTTGTAGAAGTGAATTACAATTATTCCAAGGGCCACTCTTGTTTTCTTTGCCAATTTTCATATAATAATTTTTCTCTGCTCCAATGTATGTGCACATTGCTATTTGGTTTACTATTTGGAGAAGGATTTGGCATATGATGAAACCAGTTATTTTATTCCTCAAATATTTGCTTCTTTTTTTTCTAGGGAAGAGCTCACAAGTTCCGCAATTCTTACTAGAAGAAAATATGGAGCCTATACTTTGTACACAACCAAGAAGATTTGCTGTTGTAGCTGTTGCAAGAATGGTGGCAAAAGCTCGTAATTGTGAAGTAGGTGGAGAGGTTGGGTATCACATTGGTCACTCAAGGGTCTTCTCGGCTAGGTAGTTCTATGATTGATAATTTGATATATCTGCAAAGATTTGTTATTCACTGGCTTGCTTTCGGTTTTGACCCAAAAAGGGCTTCTTAACGTCTCTTGTTTGGTATTTGAATCTATTTCCTTCTAATATGGCAAAAATTATGTTAGAAAATAACTGTGAACGCGAATTCAAAGTAAGATCTCCCGATGTCAAAATTTTTTCTTCCAAATGAATCTAACATTAAACTGTGCAATAATGCAACAACTTCCTAATAAAAAATATAATGGTTATCTTACATTGATGAATTGGATGTGCTTATTTTAACTCATAAGCCTGGTGTTTGCATATGCAAGCTTATATAAGTGCTGATTATTAGGCAACTTCTAAATGCACATACCTTAGTTAAGTGAACTTCTTTAGGTGTGGGTCCACAAAACATAAAAGATTCGGATTGACCCACTTCTGTCATAGCCCACTATTCCACTAGCTACTTCTAAGACATTGAAAATTTGTTTTTCTTGTAGACCCAATTCTGGAGTAGTCAACTTTCCAACCAACTAAAGTAGTTTCATTTTTTGTTAGTTCATATAATTTCTTTTATTTGTTTGCACAATTTTTTATTGTTCTAATATATATTTTGGGGATTGTTGTATTATTTGCTTATTTTGCATTCTAATAATTATTAAGACATTTTTTTTGTTCACCATGTTACACCTCAATATCCTGTTATGTCTTTTTAAAAGCTGGATATACAACACCAAGCCCCTGGTTGGTGGGGATCAAAATCATATTTTTAGTAGATTTTAATAAAAGTTGATGAAATGTGTGGTTAAAATTAATTGTTGACTTTGACTTAAATTAAAATGTTGATTTTAATAAATACGAAACAAGAGTTAAGAGTTGTGGGATTGGCCAAGGTTGAATCTCAAGGTTGTTGATGCCTGTCTAATTTTATTGCTATCTTCAGATTCAATTAGACCCTTGTTTAGGCATTTAACAATTTGCCTTATAGGGTTTAGCACGAATTTGTCTTCTTTTTGGATTCTAATGTTACGTTCTTCCTATGACTAATCGCAATTTACTCCTTACTATGCTGTATCTATTTGTTTAACCATTGACTTATATTGTCTAACCGTGTCAAGTTTCTATGTCAGGTCAAAAATTATATTTAAAACGGCAGGTGTATTGTTGGATGAAATGCGAGAGAAGGGATTGAAAGCGCTCAAATATAAAGTTATTATTCTTGATGAAGTGCATGAAAGATCTGTGGAGTCTGATCTTGTTCTTGTTTGCGTGAAGCAGTTTTTGCTAAAAAACAATGACCTGAGGTTAGCATTGTTTTGACTTAGTCTCTTCTCCTTCTACATGTCTCTTAGCATAATGATGAGCATCAATCTAAAGTTCACGATTTGATTGGCTTAGATTGAGTTCTAAATGGATTGTGGCTTTCTAGGGTCGTTTTGATGTCTGCTACTGCTGATATTTCAAGGTATCGTGAATACTTCAAGGATCTTGGTAGGGGTGATAGGGTAGAAGTGTTAGCAATCCCTCCTAGCACGGGGAAGAGCATCATATATCAGCGGAAAGTGACATATCTTGAACAGGTATTGCATTCAATGCAATGTTTATGGAATTACCTATCGCTGCCTTGCTATTACTTCACGTGGAGATCAGCTGGTAATCTGATAGCGAAACATCTTCTACTTTCTTTTCCCTTAAAATTTTGATTTTTGGTGTACGTTACTGTGAACTGTTTTATGTTTTTGATTGCCTAGGATATTTCTGTCTCAGCGATTGTTCGGTCTGTTGAAGGACTTCTCGATGGTTGGATGAGGTCTCTCCAATGAGTGCTATGTGATTAAATGCTTCAATTATAATCATAGATTACAAAAAAAATACTAATGATATTGAACCTAACTAAAGGAAAAAAAATTAAAATGGCCATGGCTAATTTTCTAAATGATCGTCGTCATTAGAATTTGGAAATACTTGATTTTAAGATTTCTTATTAGGCATATTGACAATTCTTTAAAGTATGTATATATGCAGACAGGTTAGGTTGAAATCCATGTAAAGTGGAACTTATATATAATCAACTTTAATTGCCTCATTGCCTTTACAGTAGTGCGGAACTCTATGAATGCATTCATAAATGATCGATTACCTTTCAAGCCATTTGAATGCCATTTTATTCGAAATTGGTTACTGGAATTTCGCATTAACCAATTTGTTCCAATGCTTTTTGCTATACAGGTTTTTTACCATTTTTCCAGTACAGAATGTTTATTAGGCATCTAACCTGTGTGTTTGGCATGATTTACATTTGAATGAAAGCCATGCTTGTAACGACCCAAATTTTTCCTTTTGATCATTAGAGCATATTGAAAAATAAATATTTTATAAAAGATAATAGCTCTTAAACTTACAATAATAATAATAAAAGCAAATAGTTAATCATAAACATTAAAGTATTATTCGAATTGCATAATCATTTATTCTTTATTATACCACTAGAGACCCGTTCCTAAATTCAACGCCTCGAAATCAATTACCTAAAGGGGAAAAATCATAGACAATGAGATAAAATCTCAATAAATGAGCCACATAATCATAATTTATATTTAAAATTTAGGAATTCGTAACGTACATAAGGAAACACGGGGATTAGAAACAGAACTTAGGTGGTCATAAACCCGTACATAATTATAACATACATAGGGAGACACGGGAATTAAGAACCGTACTTCATTGCTATAATTCTCGTACATAGCACTATTAAACTCCGGTCCATTGAACATAAACTTATAAAACCCATATCATACTCATGAATCGAACTTCGTAATTTAAAGTATGAAAAATGATTTGACATACAACATATGATAACACTTATCTCGTAAATTTGATAAAATACGTACTGAAGAACTTGGACCTCAAACAACCGTTTATGAATTATGTGTGTAGTTGATCATAGTTATACACACACATATATAGATACACGTAATTATTGAAATCATATAATTTAAATAAATCAGTCAAACATAATTATATATAATTATACATATAGAGACGCGTAATTATAGTAACACTATAATTTAAATCAATCAATCGTAATTATACATAATTATACGCATATAGGCGTAAGTAATTGTAGTAACACTATATTTAAAATAAATTAGCCATAATTATACATATATGGTTATACGTAATTGTAGTAATACTATAATTAAAATCAATCCGCCATTATTATATAATTTTATTTTATTTTAGTTTTTGATAGGTAATCAGATAATTTTATTACTTAAAAGAAAATACCCGGGGAATGTACAATCACTTTAAACCAGTAAGGAATAACATGAAATTAGGCAACCTGTCTATAGGAGCTTTAGCCACGGCATTAAACCAAGAATACAAAGTAAAGTAAAATGTTTCTCTTATTTGCTCTCATCTTTGTTTGGTCTTCGAAGCAGCGGTTGTTCCTTTCTCTCCACAAGCACCATACAAAGCAACCCGGGAGAAGGTGCCGTGTTAGTTTGTTATCCTTATTTCGAAGTTTTCTTCTCCATGCCCGTAGCACGTCTTCTATACGACGAGGCAGCGCCCAAACCATAGATTGAGAACCAAGTATACCGTTCCAAATCCAGCGAACATTATCACAATGAATGAACAAATGATCGATCGTTTCCTCATCTTTCTTGCACATATAATACCATTCGGTTACGTAAAAGCCATTATTATATAATTATACAAATATAGACGCACGTAATTATAGTAATCACATAATTTAAATCAATTAGTTATAATTACAAATATATATTCTCATAAAAATGATAGTTTACTTATTTAGAAATGAATCTTTCTAATTTATCTTTTTATATATATGGAAATTTATCTTTTAAAGTATTACACGATCAGCATAATCATTTATTTTTTATTATACCACTAGAGTCTCGTTCTAAACTTCAACGCCTTAAAATCAATTACCTAAAAGGGGAAAAATCATAGCCAATGAGATAAAATAACGTACATAAGGAAATACAGGGATTAAAAACCAAACGTGGGTGGCCATAATTCTCGTGCATAATCATAACAGACAGGGAGACACGGGAATTAAAAATCGTACTTCGTTGCTATAATTCCCGTGCGTAGCGTTACCAAACTCCGGTCCATTGAACATAAACATATATGACTCATATCACTCTCATAAATCGAATTCCGTATTTTGAAGTAAGAAAAACTATTTAACATACAATGTATGACTACACTTACCTTGTTAATTTGAAGGGGATTTGATAAAATACATAAGGAAGAACTTGGACCTTACCTTAAACAATGGTTTATGAATTATGTGTAGTGTGGACAATCATAGTTATACACACGTACACACATATATACACAAAATTATGAAAATCATATAATTTAAATCAATCAATCGTAATTACCTATATAGACGCACGTGATTGTAGTCATACTATAATTTAAATCAATCAATCAAACGTAATTATATATATATATATGCATACGTAATTGTAGTAATACTATATTTAAAATCAATCAACCATAATTATATAATTATAGAAATATAGATGCACGTAATTATAGTAATCACATAATTTAAATCAATTAGTCAGGAGGGCTTTGGCAATTACAGCCACGAGTCTGACAGTACTTGAATTAGTCGAGTCTGACAGTACTATAAGTTGATTCGTTTATAGTGAATTTTTACTCGTTTGATTCCGGAGTTTTTTTATTTCGCAAGGGGTTTTCGCCATCATCAATTTTCTAGTGTTATTTACTTTTCAGCAATTTACTAACTGTGGTAATTCACTATAGGATAGTTTTGCATGTGAATTTCTCTGGATTAATTAATAATTGCAACTTGCTGCTTTTATTAATTGATAAATTGAAATTCCGCATAAAACACCTATTCACCCCATCTAGGTATTAGTTGGGTCAAACTTCGTTATTTCAAGTGGTATCAGAGCCTCAATTCGATTCCTGACCTAACTTAATCTAGACAAGTCAATCTCTTCTTGTACCTCCTTTTTTTACGAAAACAATTATGCATATTGGAATGTTAGAATAAGAGTCTAAGTTTTTAGAAGAGCGGATTTGGATTAGTATACAAAATGGTTGTACCTTCCGTTTTACTATTGTTTCAGGTATAGTTATCCCCACGGATTTGGACTAAGGATGAACTAGTTGAGTGCAACTGGAATAGTAAAAGGCTACATGCCCTATTGATAGCTGCCTCCCCCGAAGAGTTTAGGAATGTATCAATGTGTTAAATCGCAAAAGAAGTTCTGTATATTTTAGAGACCACACACGAGGAAACCAAAACTGTAAAGAACTTCAAGCTACAAATGTTAGCCACTAGGTTTGAAGAAATTAGAATGAAGGAAGATAAACCGTTCGATGAATTCTATGGGAAGTTAAATGACATAGTAAACTCTAGTTTCAACCTAAGAGAGAATTTTCGAGTCTAAAATTGTTCGAAAAGTTCTTAGATCCTTACCTGAGAAGTTTAGAACCAAGATTATTGCGATTGAAGAGAGCAAGGACTTAGATACAGTTAAGATAGAGGAACTTGTAGTATCTCTTAAAACCTGTTAACTTACCATATCTCAACCTAAGAAGTTTATAGCCTTGAACACTGTTAAGGAAGAAGAGTTTGAGTCTACTGATACGAAGATCCTTAGAGATGATAAGATAGCTTATTTTGTTAAGAAATTCCAAAAAATTCAGAGGAATAAGAGAAAACCTCAAAAGAGGAAAAAGGATGCCCCTAGTAAATTCCAAAAAGACAAGCGTAATAAGACTAATGCTAGAGTTCTAATAAGAAATTTCAGTCAGTTAGATGTTATGAGTGTCAGAGTTTTGGTCACTATAGGAATGAATGTTCTATCTTTAAGAAGAATCTGAATAAAGGAAAGGGTAAGGCATTAATAGTGTAACTAACTGATGATGAATCCAATTCAAGATATCAGGGGCGATTCCCCTAGCACCGAGGATGAAAAGAACTATATGGCATTCGCGTCTATATTTATGATTGAATCAGACAAGGATAGTGAGAAGGTTGGGGATGAGGAACGTAGTGAGAACTATAAGGAAGACTCTGAGGATGAGAGAGGTTTCCCGTTGGGGTTTCCGACCCTCCCGGTCTCCACCTACTTGTGGAAGAGGTGGGATTCCTTGATATTAAGGTGTCAAGGCAGTCGAAGAAGGCCACCCGCTAGGGGAACAGGGGATTGGTGCAAACACAGTAAAGATCTGAGATTCGTGAGGCATACCGTCAATTATTTAAGGAGAGTCTTAGGATAAAGGTCAATAAAGCCGTATTGAAGAAGGTTAATGAACTTGAGATATAGAGAGAGAGGCTTATAGCTGACCTTCAGGATTCTACAAAAAGTCTTAGTGAGTTGAGACTTGTCAATGCTTTTTGCTATACATGTTTGCACAGATTTTATAACATTTTTTCCAGTACTGAATGTCAATTTGGCATCTAACCTTCATTTTTGGTATGATTTACACTTGAATGGAAGTACAAGAGATGCATACCCATTTACCTAACTGGATAACAGTTGTCTTTAATAAATGCTTGGTATTTCTCTGTTATGCTCGTATATTCACACAAAAATGAATCTCTCAAATCTTGTGACATTCTTCATTCTTCAAATATGGGACAGCATGGATTCTTCCTATTGGAATAAGTTTCACATAATTTTGTTCTCTAATCAAGGTGGTGTCCTGTTAACTTTTTGTTGAACAGGTAATTGATCTTCTTGGTATAGAATCAGAAGACCCCTCTTTGAAATATTGTTCTGGACCAAGCCCAATCATGGCCGAAGCAATTTTCAAGCCTGAAGTCCACAAGCTTATACATGATTTGGTGTTATATATTCACAAAAATGAACCAGATATTGAGAAGAGCATTTTGGTCTTCCTTCCAACATTCTATGCACTGGAACAGCAGTGGTTCCTCTTGAAACCATTCGGTGAATGTTTCAAGGTTCATATTTTACATCGGAGTATTGACACTGAACAAGCTCTGAAAGCAATGAGAATCTGGAAATCCCATCGTAAGGTAACATTTTCTTTTTCTGTTCTTAGTTTCAGTTCCTACTTCACTTGCATATGGCAGTGATGTTTTATACTGTCCATTTAAAGTTCATGCAAACATTTGCAGAATCTTTATTAGAACATACTGCATTTTTTATATGAATTTAAAACATCATCACTAGCGCAGATAATATTGGCCACAAACATTGCGGAATCTTCTGTTACAATACCCAAAGTAGGCTATGTCATTGATTCCTGTCGATCATTGCAAGTTTACTGGGATACTAATCGGAAAAACGATTCTGCAGAGCTTGTATGGGTTTCCAAATCCCAGGTATTGCTTGAATTTGGGCTCCTTGTGATTCACTTTTCGAATGGGATTTTCTTGTCCTCAACCTCTGTATCACAGGCTGAACAGCGCAAGGGGAGAACTGGTCGGACTTGTGATGGTCACGTGTATCGCTTGGTAACAAGATTGTTCTTTAATCAGCTTGTGGATTATGAACCCCCAGCCATACTGAGGTTGTCATTAAGGCAACAAGTACTTCTCATTTGCTGTGCTGAATCTAGAGCCATTAATGACCCCAAAGGTAGTTTGCCATTTCTGACCTACTATTCTTTGAGATGATCTTTTCGATGTCATTTGCTGTAGCTAGTACTCATTAAGTGGCTTTGACTGGAGTAAAAATGACAAGTACTTGGAGTCAAACCTCGATACAAGCGAAAAATGATATAGGAATTTACCGTATCTCACACTCGTAGTTGTTTTATTGTACATATGCTTGATACATTGGATAAAAATTCAATTTTTTACGTAACACCTAACACAGATTCCCTCTAAGTACCCTTCATATGCTTTTCCTAAATCAATAAAAATATACAAGTAATGTTTCTCACCTCTAAAATTCTAAGTAAGCAATCAACTTTAATATTATATGTATACCCAGCAAACTGTTTGTTTTAAGACATTTGAATGGCATCTTAATCAATGGGCAAATAGGACTTTCGCCGTGACTTATGAGCTTAGTACTTCTTTAGTTTCTTAATGGACCATTCATCTCCTATTTATCAGGAATCCTTTTATGCTATAAGATATTGTTAAATAATTTTATCACTACCAAAAACCTATCTCTTTTAGACACTTCCATGCTTAGATATAGATTTTTCTGGTCTAGCTGCATTTTTCCTGTTAATAAGTTAAAAGACAAAAATGAAGTCAGCTGGTGCCCACCAAGCAACGATTTATAAAATCCAAGAGTTTAATGCTATATGTTATGTGACATTGTCTTCCCTGGATTCTTTATGTTCTATAGTTTGTGTCCCTAGTTCTATGTATATCAGTGCCGATCAGACTGCTATTTCTTTCCCTTCAGTGTTGTTGCAGAAGGCCATGGACCCTCCACAACCCGATGTTGTCGACGATGCACTGAATCTGCTGGTTCACATTCGTGCATTGGAAAAAGCATCTCCTAGGGGTCACCATGAGCCTACATTTTATGGACGACTGCTTGCTAGCTTCTCTCTGTCGTTTGATGCTTCTATCCTCATTATCAAATTTGGGGAAATAGGAATGCTACGTGAAGGCATTGTATTTGGTATTTTGATGGATCTCCAACCTCTACCAATTCTTTCTCCTTTTGGTCAGGAAAATCGGGTATTGTCCACAAATTGAATTTGTGTTACATTTCATTGTTCAGATGATCTTATTTCTACTGACTAGGAGTTGTTAATTTTCAGTTTGTGGAGTACATTGATTACTATTATAGTGGAAACAGCAAGGACACTGGTTTGGGTAGGAAGGAGATGCTATATATGGGAAACTTGAGTGCATTTCAGTTCTGGCAACGTGCTTTGAAGGTAATATTATCTCTCCCAAACTAGAGTGCATTCAACTTTGGCAACATTCTTTAAGGGTAATTTGGCCATAGTTCCTTGTATTCTCTCTGCCCCAACCCTCATAGTACTCACTTCCAAGGAGACATCTTGGTGTTGAATTTATGATTTCTCTCAAGTTATGTAACCTGTGCATGCATTGTTTTTGAAGGACAAATGTCGTCTTGAACGACTGAAACAGATTCTTAAGGTTGATAATGAGGAAAACGCTCAAATTCTTGACTCAAAGGGGTGTCTGAACGGGCTAAAATTTGACTGATTGATCGGAAACAAAAATCGCGCCGGGGGCAATTTCGTCATTTTTCGCGACGGTATCGGAATCCGTTAAATTTTGACTGATTGATCGGAAACAAAAATCGCGCCGGGTGCAATTTCGTCATTTTTCGCGACGGTGTCGCAATCCGCTAAAATTTGACAGATTGATCGGAAAAAAAAATCGCCCCGGGGGGGGGGGGGGGGGGGGGGGGGGGGGGGGGGGGGAGGTGTTGCTGGGGACTAAATTTATTATAAATAAATGTGATCTTCTTACATGTTAAGCTTTTAGAAGACATGTTTTAACATGGTACCATAGCAAGCTAAGATTCTCAGTTCGAGCCTCACCTCCATACATGTATGAAAATAGTATTTGTGTCCAGCTTTTATTGAAATAAATAAATCCTGCTAGCACGCCTTGTGTTGAAGACTAAATTTATATAAACAAAAGTTATCATTGTCTAATAGCTTAAACTTCTAAATGAGATGAGATGGTTCAACATGTTGAAAGTTTGAATTTTTAATGCTGACTGCTGAGTGTGTTGTTTGCAGATGATGAAATCCTCCATTCTCTGCACCGGGTTCGACCCAAATTTCTGGTTATATCTGATAGTCTTCCATTTTATTATGATCCATATGTCTGGCACACGTGCCAACTTGAATGTGAGCAAAAAGGGGAAACGGATACACTGGCTGTAGAGGATGAACACCTTGAGCTTGATAGTGAGTTGAGAAGATGTGTTGCTGTACCTTTTGCTGGATGCAGTGATTATCAAATGGATAAGATGGCTAGAAATTTGGCATTGATCGTCAAAGAGGTACCATGTTTTGCTTGTCAAGGTGCCATATCACTGCCACGATGCCATATCACTGCCACGATGGTGATATCTTCTTTTTCCATATGAAACAGATGAGAACTCAAGTTACTGAGGATGCATCTGAAGAACGGCATAGATTCCTCGATGATGACAGACGTCATGTTGCTGGAGGTGCATCGATGTGTAAATTTTTCATCAATGGCTTGTGCAACAGGGGTAGCCAATGTTTATTTTCTCATTCACTCCAAGCAAAAAGACCAGTTTGCAAATTCTTTTTCTCCTTACAGGTATCTATTTTTGCTCATTTCAGCCCTTATTCTTTAAATTTTTCTCTTGGCCATTGTAAATGATGGCTCTTCTAAATTGTTATTATGGGCCTGTTTGATGTAGATATTGTGAAAACAGATTTTGTGAAAAGTGATTTTTTCAGAATAGTTGATTAAAAAATATGGGAAAATTATAGGTCCACGTGCAAAATCATTTTATCGGAAGAATGTGTTATTGAAAATGAGTTTGGGGAAAGATGAGTTTTAAAGAATGTGTACCAAACAGGGGGCTATATGTAATTTAATTGGTTGGGGTATTTGCAGGGATGTCGCAATGGAGATTCGTGCCTCTTTTCTCACGAATCTGGTACAACAGCAATATCCTGTAGTGACTTGAGTTTGTGCAGCCAAGATGACAGAGACACTGATGCAGCATCTTTTGTTCGATTTTTTCCTGATTTTTCTTCGGATGGATACATACTATTATTGGACGACTTTGATCTTTATTTTTCTACCCATATTTCTTATCACTATGACTCTTCCTGTATAATTTCCACATCATCTCAACCAGATCCCCTCATCCCTGATCCATCGGGCATCAAAATTTTCTGGGGACTTAGTCATCCATATCAGACAATCATGTCCAGAGCAGGGGAAGACACAGTTCCATGGAGTAAAGTCAAATGCGTATTATGGTTTCCTAGATTTGATCATGAATATAAGGAAGGACAGAAAAGCTCCATACAAACGTTCTTTGAGTATCTGGCTATCCGATTGTTGGCAGAGTCCCTGCAAGAAGTGGTAGTAATCCTAACCATGAACAATATCAGATTTTCCCAATTACAGGTAACGGAAAAAATCTAGTTCCTGCTTGGTTAAGCTTTCAAGTGTTTATAAGCACAGATCTCAAAAAATGTGTGGTTAAAACATAGATAAAAGTTATGGGTTCTAAGGAATGTGTGGTTAAAAATGAAGTTTGACCAGCCTATGAGTACTTAAAAGCTTTGTCCAACATGGACTTACATATTCTATTTCCTACTTATCCTGCCTGTGTAAATTTTACTGAAAACGGTTAGTTTTTCCATTGTGGAAGAAGTAACAGTTGAATGTTTATTGTACTAAGAAACTTTTAACTGAAAAAGCATCATCTAGTGTGTGTGGAAGGAGAGAAACAACCGCTGTTTTGAGGATCATTCAAGGACTACAGAACATATTAAAGAATTATTTTATTTGACATTGTATAATTGGTTTAATGCTGCGGCTACTACTTGTATAGCCGGGTTGCCCAATTTTATGTTGTTTCTTTTTTGTATAAATTGATAATATACTCGTGATTAATAAAATATTTAATTACTTTTAACTGAAAAAAGTTTTCAGCCTGATGTCTGATTCGAACATGAATCTGATTTGTTGTTATGGGAAAACAACGTTAAACATGAAAGAAATTTTATCTGAGATCTGATAAGATATGGGCATGGAATGGCATTACATGAACTGTGGAAGTAAATATATTATCAAATTCACCAATAGAGCACGACATATTGTAAAAACTGTTTTAAAGACAGACTTTTCTTGCAAATTTTTGTTTTTCTCCTTACAGCTAGTTGCTTGTGCAGACTGAAGACAACAGTTGGATAGTTATCTAGACATCATTTAAACATTGCTGTTTTGTCTCAATAGGAAAAGAATTTAGGTTTTCTGTTCTTGCATTTGATATAAATTGTTATATTTGCTGACATGAATGTTCTATTAGGTGGAAAAGTTGGCAAGGGACAGTTTCTTCCTTCTAAGAGAATCATTTCCATTTGATGAATCAAGCTTTGGGCAGTTGTTTGATGAGCTGACAGCTAGAAAATCAATGTCGACTTCAAAGCCTGTTTCATACGTTTTTGATCTGCATCCACCTACCGAAGTTCAGTTTGGCGACTATAAGATGCTTTTCCGTCAATATTTGCATCCTACTTTGTGTCCTATTTATTAGAAGTTATCTGCGGGAGATTGTGTGTATACGAAGTTGCTTGTTGTCTTCCTGGTGAAGGAAAATTTAGAGTAGTGGTAATTATATTCATGACAAACTTGTTATTTGTTGCACCATATTTCAATTGCACTCAAGGCTCAACCTTTATGCTCCAGTAAAACTTATCTCCCTATCTTTTTTTCATTTCTTATCTTCAACCTTTAATTAATTAGCACATCTTGTCTTTGGTAATGGTTTCAGTCAAAATCTTCCTTTTGTGTGTTAAACCAAGTGAAAAATAATGTCGCACTTTTACATTTATTTTCCTTTTATAAATATGATGGTTAAATAAGTTATTATATGCCCTCAATAGACTTTTTCGTTGAAAATTGTTACATGAGATGAGAAGTGCTGGTGGATGCTAATTGATGAAGGTTGAGATAAAAATGCGTTGCAAAAAATCAGGGATGCAAGATTTAATGAGCAAAGATTGAGAATCTTAAATGAAATTAAAATATGGTATAACTAATAAAACTGTAGTATGAATATAATTACCCATTTAGTTAAGAGGATCTTAGAAGTTTGTGAAGCATAGACGGTATTACCCTTTATTTTGTAAGCTATGGAGGCACATCAATTCTTTTTAGTTTTGACTATTACTATTGATTTTAGTAATTTAGTTGAATTATATATTCTACTATTTAAGATTGAGGGTGTGTGTTTTATTTACTCGTATAGCATGTTTGGTTGGTTGATTAGATAGTATTGAACGACATTAAAAAGTTGTCTATTATATTTTCTTTATCCTTAACGAGGGTGCTTGTATTCATTCTTTGGGAAAGATGTTGCGTTAGAGACTCAACACCTACGGAGATGATCGGCTTTTCTTATAAAATAGAGATGCTCAAGTTTGTGATGATCCTAGTTCGGAAATTTGTGAAGAAACTTATTTGAACTGGTTCTTGCATTTAGTCTCTATTTGGCTCCATTTTTTACGTGATTAAAATCAATTTTTATTTTGTTACAAAGTGCAAGTGGGTCCCAGTGTCTGTTTTTTATTGAGAAGGAAGTCAAAAATGACGGTAGCAAGTGTACAATAATTGATTAAAATTCGGTTGTCTATTATATTTTCTTTATCCTTAACGAGTGTGCTTGTATTCATTCGTAGGGAAAGATGTTGCGCTAGGGACTTAACACCGATGGAGATGGTCGGCTTTTCTCATAAAATAGAGATTCTCAAGTTTATGATGATCCTAGGGTTTGGAGATTTGTGAAGAAACTTATTTGAACTAGTTCTTGCATTCCGTCCCTATTTGGCTCCATTTTTTTACATGATTAAAACCAATTTTTATTTCGTTGCAAAGTGCAAGTGGGTCCCAATGTCTAGTTTTTATTGAGAAGGAAGTCAAAAGTGACAATAGAAACTGTACAATAATTAATTAAAATTTAGATGAAAATTTCTCCTTAATCTATTTTTATGAAAGGAAATTATATATAAACAGTGTTAAAGTTTTTCAATTTAAAAATTAGGGGTGAGATTTATTTAATTAAAAATTAGGTATAAATTGAATTATTAATAATATCCTTCCTCTCTCTCTCTCTCTCTCTCTCTCTCTCTCTCTGTATTTGAGTTTTGGCTTAAGACCTCTATCTATCCCTTTCTTCTCTCTCATGGCACTCACTTCGACAACTCATCATGGTACAGCGGTAATGGCTTTCCTTTGTGCGCGGTAGTGCATCATCGCTACGCATGGTACAAATCCATTTCTCTTCTTTTTGAGTGGTGCGGTGATAGATAGTTTGGTGGTGGTGGTGATGGTGTATTGTTTTTGTCAACGCGATGGTGGTCGTGGTGTGCGATTAGGTGAGGTGTGGTGCGAGCTTGGTTGTGATGGTGCTGTGTAGTGGTGGTTGGGTGTGGTATGATGGTGGTGTACGATGGTTGGGTACCGTGGTGATATGCAGTGCTGCGTTCGGTGGTTGGGTTGGGTATACTGGTAGTGTGTAGTGGTGGTGTGTCGTAATCTGTGGTGCGTGATTTGTGATAGTGGATTGGGATCGAAGGTGGGGTTGGGGTGTTTGGTGTATATGACCAACTATTTGGTTAATTTGTGACCAAATATTTTGTGTTTTTTGTGACCAGCCATTTAATCGTATTTTGTGAATAAAAAAATAATTTGTGAGGAACTAATTTGAAAATCACAAATTAACTGTGATCTATATATATATATTTTTTACCTGAAATAATCTGTAATCAATTAATTTGATAATATATGACCAATAAATAATGTCTAACTTATAAGTACGTGTTAAAATCCCAAAATTACTGCAGGAATGAGATGGATTGATTGAAGAAAATTGAAAGAGATCCTTCTTATTATAATTAGTGTTGTATATTATATATTTTTTGATTTCTTACTATATATAGGGGATTAGATTTTTATTCCTTTTTCAGCTTTCTTTGTAATATATATATGGACTCTCTTCATTGTACAATTTAAGTAAAAAATAATATAAGACAATTTCTCTACATGGTATCAGAGCCACGGCATCTTCTAGCCTAGTTAGAGTATGGTTGAAGCAACCGAGAATAACAGAGGCTCAATGACCTCTGAGTCAAACAATAGTGAATCTGAAGCAACGTCTACGGGAGGAATTGAAAACTCATCCTTCCAATTTACGGTAGAAAAATTAAACGGGAAGAATTTTCGTGAGTGGGCCCAATCGATTAAACTTATTGTGGATGGAAAAGGGAAATTGGGGTACCTGACAGGCGAAACTAAGATGCCAGCGGCAACCAGACCTGCTCTTCTTGAAAAATGGAAGTCAGAGAACTCGATGGTGACTGCCTGACTCGTGAACTCTATGGAACCCTTCATCGGCAAAAAATACTTGTTCCTTCCAACCGCAAAAGAGGTTTGGGAGGCCATAAAAGAGATGTAGTCAGATTCCGAGAATTCCTCCAAAATTTTCGAAATCAAATCAAAATTGTGGCAAACGAAGCAAGGGGAACGAGAAGTGATTGACCACTACCTTAAGATAAATGGGTTGTGGCAAGAACTCGACCAAATTTCTGAAGAAGAATGGACGTGTGCTGAAGGCAGTGTTCGATACAAGTAGAAACTGGAAAACGAATGCGTGTATGAATTCTTAACAGGACTCCACCGCGACCTAGAAGACGTTCGGGGGCGAATTCTTGGCCGGCGACCCCTTCCCTCGCTGCGAGAAGTTTTCGCAAAGGTACGACGAGAAGAAACCCGGCGCAAGATAATGTTGAGTAAAACCGGTGTGTTTGGGCCTCCAAATGTTGAAGTCTCTAGATTGATGTCTAAAGGAATTGGACATTATAATAAGAGGCCTGCTAATTCGAGTAGAGGAGCAACTTTCAATCATGGGCCAAATGAGTTTGGTAAAGGGCCTGGAATTACTGGGCCTACTAATTTGTACAGTGGAGCTGGTTTTAATCATGGGTAAAATAAATCCAGCATTGGGTTGAGAATGATTGGCCTATATTTTCAAGGTGCAGCAAGTGGATCCGGTCCAAAACAGCAAAGGGGTCGGCTCTAGTGTGAGCATTGTCGAAAACCAGGGCACAGAGAAGACGCATGTTGGGATATACATGGAAAACCGAGCGATTGGAAACCGAGGCAAAATAATAAAAATCGTGGATACCAGGCATCAATTGATTATCAAACGGAAAAATCCGAGTCTAGTAGTGCATTTAATTCTGAACAAATGGAGCAACTCTACAAATTGTTTCCAAGCTTTCAATCATCGAGTCAATCCTCTACAAACAACCCGACGAGCTCACTAACCCACAGAGGTAACTTCTTAAGAGCATTAAAGTCTATAACTCAATCTAAAACTCCCTGGATTATTGACTCGGGAGCATCTGATCACATGACGGACTCCTACCATCTATTCTCCACATATTCCACTTGTGCCGGTAATCTTAAATTTAAAATTGTGGATGGCTCACTCTCTTCAGTCGCAGGAAAAGGGAGTATAAAAATCTCTGATTCTATAACTTTAAAATCTGTCCTCCATGTTCCAAATTTATCATGCAATCTACTGTTCATAAGTCAATTGACCAAAAATTCAAATTGCTATGCTAAATTTCTACCATTTCATTGTGTTTTTCAAGACCTATTATCAGGGAAGACGATTGGCGGTGTTAAGGAAAGAGAAGGACTCTATTACTTTGAAGAGGCTAATGTGAGTAAACAACGTCAAGTTACATTTTGTGACTCTACATCTGTCTTTAGAAATAGTGATATTATGTTATGGCATTTTAGAATGGGTCAACCAAACTTTCAACTTGAAACGTGTATTTCTCTCTATTTTTCTGAATAAAAAGCCTATTGATTTGCAATGTGAAATATGTGAATTTACAAAACATCAACGTGCATCATTTCCAAAGTCTACATATAAACAATCTAAACCTTTCACTATAATCCATAGTGACTTGTGGGGCCCTTCACGGATCCCTAACCGTAATCATGCTAAGTGGTTTGTTACGTTTATTGATGATCACACTTGAATTTGTTGGGTCTACCTCCTAAAGGAGAAATCAAATGTTCGATCTGTATTTCTCAATTTCCATTCCATGGTTCAAACACAATTTCAAGCACAAATCCAAATTTTGCGAACTGATAACGGTACAAAAATATTTCAATAACGTCCTGGGAGATTTCCTTCAAACACGTGGAATAATCCATCAAAGCCCATGCGTCGACACTCCCCAACAAAATGGGATCGCCGAACGAAAAAATAGACACCTCTTAGAGGTTGCTTGTGCTTTGATGTTTACCACTAATATGCCCTAAATGTTTTGGAGAGATGCTAACCTGACATCCACCTACCTAATCAACCAAATGCCGAGTCGTACTCTTAACTTCGAATCACCCCTCCAAAAATTTCAAAAGTTCTTTCCAACCTCTCGTCTCAACTTTAATCTATCACTAAGAGTATTTGGATGTACCGCTTTTGTCCATATCCACTCCCATCATAGAGGTAAACTTGATCCTTGAGCTATTAAATGTGTATTGATTGGGTATTCCCTTACTCAAAAGGGTTACAAATGTTATGATCCCTCTACAAAAAGACTCTTTGTCAGCCCGGATGTTACGTTCTTCGAAACTAAACCATATTTTGAAATAAACCTCTCTTCAGGGGGAGAACTTACATGAAGATCGGTTCTTAGATTTCGATCTTTCTCCTCTTGAACCTACACCACCGATAAAACTTCTTTCACCATTGAATATGCCATTTACAGAAGGTAACTTAAACTCAGGGGGAGATGTAGAAAAACAAAATGATAAAGAGATACTAGTCTATTCACGAAAGCCAAAATCAAAGTACAAGGAGACTCTCACATCCGAAGCACCAAAAGAGTCAGACTCGATGATAGCTCCACATCCTCATGAAGCATCAGAAACTTTAGATTTACCCATTGCTGTTAGAAAGCAAACTCGATCATGTACTCTCCACCCTATTTCAAAATTCATGTCTTATAATACCTTATCTACTGAGCTTCCTGCTTTCACATCTCATCTGGACAGTACAGAAATCCCAAAAAATATCCAAGAAGCTTTGGAGATTCCTGAATGGAGAGATACAGTATTGGAGAAAATGAGAGCGTTGGAGAAAAATGAAATTTAGGAAGTATTGGACCTACCAAAAGGGAAGAGACCAGTTGGGTGCAAATGGATTTTTAATGTGAAATACAGAGCTGATGAGACTATTGAACGATATAAAGTTCGGTTGGTTGCAAAAGGATACGCACAAACCTATGGCATCGACTACATGAAAACATTTGCACCAGTAGCAAAATCGAATACAATTCGAGTTCTTCTATCATTAGCTGCAAATTTGGATTGACCACTTCAACAACTAGGCATTAAAAATGCATTTGTAAACGGAGAACTGGAAGAAGAAGTTTTCATGACATTACCACCCGATTTTTGTAAAATGAATGAGAAAAATCAGGTACGAAAACTCAAGAAATCTTTATATGGACTCAAACAGTCACCAAGGACATGGTTTGATAGATTTGCAAAGGTGTTGAAAGGTCAAGGATATCGACAGGCAGATCACACTATGTTTCTTCAACAATTTGAAGACGGGACTAAGACAATCTTAATAGTATATGTTGATGATATAATTTTAACATGAGACAATGCAGTAGAAATGGAAAGACTGAAAAAGAGCCTTGCCATCGAATTTGAAGTGAAAGATCTGGGAACAATGCGGTACTTCTTGGGAATGGAGATTGCAAGATCGAGAAAGGGCTTTAGTGTCCCACAGCGAAAATATATTCTTGATCTTCTAATCGAAACTGGCATGTTAGGATGCAAGTCAAGTGACACACCCATGGAAGCGGGAAAGAAATCTGAAGACGTTGGGGAACCAATGGAAACAGACAGGTATCAAAGATTAGTAGGAAAACTAATATATTTGTCACATACTAGACCTGACATTGCATTCGCAGTAAGTCACGTGAGTCAACACGTGCATTCACCAAAGGAAAGTCATCTGAAAACAGTCTACAAGATCCTCGGATATCTCAAGGGCTCCTCAGGAAAAAGGACTATTTTTCAAGAAGAGTGAAAGAAAGGAAGTTGAAGTCTTCACAGATACAGATTGGGCAGGTTCAGTAAAAGATAGGAGATCAACTACTGGGTATTGTACCTATGTATGGGGAAACCTTGTAACTTGGAAAAACAAGAAACAAAGTGTAGTAGCAAGAAGCAGTACTGAAGCTGAGTTTATAGCTATTGCACAAGGAATATGCGAAGGACTATAGTTAAAAAAACTTCTAGAAGAATTGCAGGTTATAATAAAGTTCCCAATCAAACTTTATTGTGATAATAAAGCAGCAGTCAATATTTCCTTAAATCCAGTTCAGCATGATCGCACCAAACACATAGAAGTAGACAGACACTCCATAAAGGAAAAGGTTGAGGAATGAACTATTTGCATGACCTATGTTCCTACACAAGAACAAACTGCAGATATATTTATCAAAGGACTACCTCAACAAAAATTCGATGATTTCATATGCAAGTTGAATATGATCAACATTTACGATCCAACTTCAGGGGGAGTGTTAAAATCCCGAAATTACTGCAGGAAGGAGATGGATTGATTGAAGAAAATTGGAGGAGATCCTTCTTACCTTAATTAGTGTTGTAATTATATATTTTTTGATTTCTTACTAAATATAGGGGATTAGATTTTTATTCCTTTTTCAGCTTTCTTTGTAATATATATATGGACTCTCTTCATTGTACAATTTAAGTGAGAAATAATATAAGTCAATTTCTCTTCAGTACGTACATGTGATAATTAATTGTATAATTGAAACCTTGATATATATTGGCCCATAATTAACACTTGAGTTGTGAATTTTTCCCCTTCTATTATTTCTTACATATGGTTGTCATATATAATTGAAACTGGGATATATGTTGGCCCATAGTTAATACTTGAATTGTGAATTTTTCCCCTTCTATTATTTCTTACGTATGGTTTTCGTGTCTATATATCCTAACTCCTATAGGGCTGGAAGATATCAACACTAATGAGCGGAACGAACGTATTGCTTCCTCTTTTGTTCTCTCTCATATTATTTCAGTGATTAGATGCAAGTACAACGACCACTTCTCGAAACCACCAAGCCCTCCACCACATCTCGCCGTCACCACTTGCTCCAAACTCATTCTACCCTTTGCATTACCAACTCTACCTCCAACACCAAACCTGCCACCCCACCTGCGCCTTCTTCCTAGTCCAAAGCATAATGTTTGTGCCAAAATTTGATGGTGAAGACCATTTGCTTCCATTTCTCTTTCACACTAACAAGGTTTTTTGCCAAAACAAGCTTGTACGTATCGGTTGATTGAATTTCTTTGACGAATCGAGTTGACGCACAAGTTGAGCTTGTTTTTTTCACCTCCATAACATATTGTGGTTGAATTTTTTTGTTAAGATACGAGACTTCGGTTATACATGTTTTAATAAACAATTATCCTTGTGAAATTTATCAATGCTATTGCCAATCAAGGGAAGAAGTATAGAAAAGTTACATCCTGCTTTACCCACACTGACTGACTACATTAGGAAGCTAATCTTCTTCCACATCATCTTGTTCTTCCTCCTCGTCTTCCTCGTGCTCTTGCTCTCCATCCTTATCTTCCTCGTTTTCTTGCTTTTCATCATCGATTTTCTTATTTTTACTTGACACGTGATTTCCTGAAAGGACCAAAACACAAGAGTAAAGCAACAATTTATTAGCTACAAGCGTGATTGAATGCAATCATGTAATTTAAGGAATTTTTTCGAATATTTGAGAAAAAAAGGGTCTGAAAGAAAACTAAGCCTAAGATGGCTATAACATGCCGATCCATTAAATATCACAAGTTTATCATGGACAAAGAAAAAAATATCGAGAGGAGGAATGCACATTGTGCCTTGCAATACCTTTTTTAGTTTATGTTCTATCTATCAACAAATAGAAAGAACCGAAAATCTATCCAAAGTTGCGATTGGAAATGTACAAACCACTCAAAATCAAAGTAATTTCTTCACTTCCCATAATTTGCATGCTCACTAACACGGAATAATCTTCCTCTTCCCTACTTACATATCCACAACACACCATTAAATGGCACTACAGGCTTACACAAGGAACTGAATGTTGAAGCTTTTGCAATAGAGACTTGTCTACTTGTCGACCAATTAAAGAACAGTGTATGTCAAAAATTCTAGCCTTTGTTTGGGAGAGATTTTTCGAAGTGAAAAATGACTTTTTTTGGAGAATGTGTGATTAAAAGTAGGGAAAAGGAATGGAACCCATACAATGTGTGGCTGAAAATGATTTGAGTAAAAATGATTTTGTAAATCTCTCTCCCCAGACAAGCTCTAATACTATCCAGATGCAAGTTGACTGCTTTCTTCAATAATGGAACTTCATTCACCCGTCTAATCAATAGAAATTTTTAGTTGAGACTAGCATACCATATTCATTGAATATTACTCCTCCTGAACACAGTCCTTCCTCGACTTTGATGAGTTGAAGTGTCATCCTAGGTCCAATCTCTTGAAGCTTAACAGCACTTTTGTTAGAAGCCCGATTAACTCTACCAAGGTCAGTTGCTAGACTTACAGTTGCAGCTTCATCATCTGCTTCACTTTCTGATCCATAACCAGCCCTTCAAGGAAACAGAGGAAAAAGTAAGTAAACCATGACGGGAAACCACCTCTAATATATTTTAATTACTCAAACCAACAATCAATAATAGCGAATTTGAGAGAATATTCTTTCTTGTGTTAATTGATCATACACTCCAATGTATTATCCTTTAATTTATAAAATTATCTGATTACCTATTAAAAAAAAAAAGTTGAGAGAATATTTAACCCATAATATCACATTCATCTATACATGCTTAAAACAACATTTAATCTTCTTTAAGAATTCCTCCATTTATCGGGTTACAAAAAGAATTAAACTTCAGGTACAAAAGCTCGAAACTCATTTTTACAACTCTTCAAATTAACTTTTATCTAGTATCAGAAATAATCCTTAAAACTCCCTATTGTTCCATTTTTCCTAAAATCATCATGCAACTTAACCTTGCTTTATAAGTTGATAAAAGTAAAGGGCATGCATTTCAATAAGCCACAGAAGACAGCATTAAAAAATTACTCCAACATCAGGTAGAAAAAAGAAAAAAAAAGTGATATTTTACCAAAAATGAGGATAACGTACAATTTATTCTCCATGTAACATGCTTTCACAACTTATGCTATATAGCTTAAACCAAAATTAAAGGCCAATAACTTAGAACAACATGAATTGCAGAGTCATAATCTCAAGCTATATTGACTCAATCAGCAAAGGAAAAAAGGATCTCTCAGAGGAATATTCAAGCAATGAATAAAAGATCAGCTACTAAAAATGTATATAGGAATTACTAAGAGTAAGATTCAGTGGGAACAAGATATGAAGTACAAGTGCATTGCATTTTGTCCAGAGAGAGAGCTTACTTTGTCACGAAATCACTCACGTCTTGAAGATTTCTCAAATCAGGCACCTGATGGTTTTGCACAAATTTCCTAATTCTGCGTGAAACATCAACAGGTTGTAATCTAATGGAGAAGTGACGGAAGTCAATAAGCTTCGTCTCTTTGTTGTAATTTAGTAATACAATCCTTTGGCACGAAGAAAGATTGACCTGAAACACAATTGTGAGAGAGACGACTGCGTTGAATCTATAATTAGATTTGAGTTATGAAGATTCTTCACTTACAGTGTTCACATCTATGGCAGGAAATATGTTTTGAAACATTATTGTAGTGAGCTTCAGATGTTGCTCCCCAGTCCCAAAACCAGAAAGAACAATCTACAACATTCACACACGAGAAATACTTCCACGAGGATCACTGGATGGCAAAAAAAAAAAAGGAAAAAAGACTGATGCACACTAAACAGACAGCATCCAAAGTTATGAAACATTTCATCCACCATTCAGAGATATATGTATGCATGTTATTTGTTGCACACAAGCATTCAAGTTTGCTCAAGGATTTATGTGAACTTACCAAGGGTGAGTTTTTGAAGAGATCTTTGGGGCATCTCGGACGCAATTGACTTTGAGCAATATCAGCAGCCAATGAGTATTCATTTATTTTAAATGTAAGCGTTGGACCCTGGGGTGTCCTAGCAACTCTCAAGTATGGTGCCGTGTCAGTTTTAGATAAAATGAGGAAGTGTGTTACCCCCATAGGTCCTGAAACATTCAAGAAGTCTTTGAGATTATTTCGCCTTTTTTCCTGCAGGTCACAATGAATATCAACTTAGCCAACTGAAGATCAGACAGAGTTCACTATGTATCTAAGGCTTCAAGAATCACGCTCTTGATTGAATCTTGCAAAGCTGTTAGTACAAATAACCACTTCTATTAAATAGAAACAAATACAAGAACACGGCCATAAAAACTGAAACAAAAAAGAGGTCAATTACTTTCATGCTAATACATATGCTCAACTAAGAATATGTGTTAAAAACATCAAAGGAAACATTGGCGTGCAGTAATTACTTCATCTTAAATATTACCTCAAGAATGCTTGATGTCTGTCTTCATGGATAACAATTATGAGCCCAACATAAAAAGAATTGGGTAATAAGCAATGCATTTGGAGCTTAGGAATCACCAGTATATAAACCTCAAAAAGATTCACATTTTGAAGAAGTATCAGGTTCAGGATTTGAATTGAACTTTTAGCTGTGCTAGTTGAAATCACAATCCTTTGTTGACATAATTTTAGCATTATAGAGGTGCTAAGCTTATTTTATTAAGTACTTATCCTTGCAACTTTTACAAATGTACTCATCGATGTCTTCATAGACGTTGCTATGGAATTCCCAGGCAACGCTCACCTTGAGCTTAAGAGCAGTAAAAGGAAGCATCAACTTTCTTAAATCCATCTGCAATTGTCTAAGAGGACCCGGCAACTTCCCCCGAGAAAAAACAAAACTCTTTGGAATCTTGTCTCCAGTTATGTGATCCACACTCGACTGCTTGTTGATGATCGGCTTAACAAATGGTTTTTTCTTCTTCTACAATTCCAATTCACAGTGTACAACGTAAGGCATAACAAAAAACAATCGTCATACGTTATAAGTATAGTATTTCGTGGCTTACATTTCGAATACGAGCCATGTCCGAATCGTAGCTTCCAAGGAACAAACTTTGACTGTTACTCGATGAAACTGCTACAAATTTTAAATATTATAAAATAAAAATACAATTATCACCGATTGTGCGAATTCAGAAGTACCTCTTCGGTGGTAACTCTACTCGAAGGAATGTTCTGAAATTTGGGTTTTAATTTCTTCGGTGGTAACTCCTAATGCGTCGAAGTGGGAATGGGCCGATGCCCTAGATTTGAAAGGCATCAGCACTGACCCAATATAAATTCGTTTGGCGATTAAGTGGTGGGCATGGGTCAATTTTGGGTCCAACTAGAAATCAATTCTGGGTCCAACTAGTCATGTTTATGCCCTGTTTGATACCAAAAAGAGTTTTTTTTTTTTTTTTAGGAAAAATGAGTTTCGGATAAGTAATTTTTTGAATAATGAGTGGTTAAAAAGTAAGAAAGAATTTTGAATATGCGCGCAAAATATTTATTGTAGGAATGTGGGGTTGAAAATTAATTTTAGAAACCAGAAAAATGGAGTTTTTAAAGAATGAGAGACGAACAGAGACTTAATTTAACATGTTAAACCAACTCCTTTGGGTTCAAGTAACACCCTTCTAGCCATAAAAAAAGATAAGGATGAAAAGGAAGAGAACTAAAACTTTCTTACAACAAAAGTTAAAGCGAAATAAATGTTTAGACTTTCTTTGGCTAAATGGTTTCAGTTTTATGTTTATCATTCAATTTTGTGCAATTGGTATTCATTGGCTTCACAAATTAAATCCCCTTGCATCAACCTTGTGCTTACCATGTTTGTAAGAGCCCATAAAAACAATTTTCACGATGGATTTAACAATTACTCGATATCAAACATCGACACATCATTCTTGAGTTGATCAGGATGGATACTCTACATTGAACTACGTCAAAATTTGCCTCACTTAGAAGATGCCTCTTGGGAATCCAAACAGTCCTAGCTTCTTTGCTTTCAATAGATTCATGAGATACTCACCTATCTACCATGCCCATTCACATGATCGTATATTGTATTAAATCTCTTTTCCTCATCACCTTGCCAACCTTTATTGCATTCACCACCTTCTTGTTTTTCTAACGAACTTTTCAAAAAAGGGTCTTCAACTTTTCCAACTCACCCGAGACCCGTTTCTTTATAAGGCCGAGTCGTAAGTCTCTCCCCTTCGAACAAGAAAATTTTCTAACTAGACGAGCTTGTGCAATGTGCTAATCGCAAACTCTTCTGCCCATTTTTCCCTTCAATTTTTTTTTTGTCTAATTCTGATTTGAGATGACACAGCCATGCACTATTTTGACATTCATACTTCTAACGCTTTCATGCTCATTGACATCCCAGAATGGGGACAATTATGTCCAGGATGCTTGCAGTGTGACTCGTTATCAAGATATTTGTATTCACTCTTTGGCTTCGTTTTCACACACAGCCCAACACAGCCCTAGTAGGTGGGCCCGGGCCGGAGTCTCCGTCACCATAGGAGAAGCAAAAAAAGTGAGTAAATACTTGATGATACATAGAAGTGATATGATCGTAGAAGGAAGAAATAAAATCGCACTTTTGGATTGCATTGAGTCTTTTCAAAATACAATTGAAAATCTGCATAGATCTCTCGACGTGCTTAGAAAGCTAAATTTTCAGGAATTCGACTCCCAAATGGGGGATGTTACAACATGGTTAAGTGCTGCTCTTACCGATGAAGATACATGTTCAGATGGATTTGATCGACAAAAAGGAAAAGTTGTTAAAAGCATACTAAATCGTGTTTCAAATGTAAGTTACATGACGAGCAACGCATTAGCTTTAGTTAACAAACTTACGACTACTGGTCCAGAAGCGCTGAAGAAGGATTGAGATCCTATGGAACTTGATATTAATTATAATCAGCTTTTTAGCTTAATTAATTGAATGTAATAGTGTGCATAGTACTTGTTATTAAGCATTATTTAGGCTGCTAAGGATTTGGCCAGTATAATGCGATTATCTTTATATATTGAATATTGATGATAGTTTACTTGTAGAAGAGAATCGCATTTCAAGAATTCACCAGTATCTTAGTAACCTCATCAAAAAGATATTATTCGAATTAAAATTTAATCTATCTATCAAAGAACCATATGGGTCGAGCTTGGTTTGACGAGAGTTGGCAAGTAGGTATATGATTTTTAGTGGTGTGATTTGCTTCTCTAATTCTAATATTTTATCGGTGTGGGACAAGTTTCTATATTCTCATGTATCCAATTTGTACAATCATTTGTCTTTATCGAGATTAATTTTTGTTTCAGTAATTGAACTACGAAGCCAATTATCGAGTAAATAGAGACCCACTAGCCTTAATGAGCCCATTTATTGTAATTAATGGGCTTCCTTTATAAGCTATGAGAAGAGAGAAGAGCTTAGCTGTAAGAAGTGGTACTTACACAATACCATATGATTAAAACCACGAGTTCCAAAATCAGGGAGGTAGTTTCTTCTTTCAAAAATCAGATTTTTATTTTAATTAATTTTTTTATAAATAAATAAATAAATATATATATATATATACACACACACACACACACACACACATCACAACCCTAATCAATTCCTCATTTTCTCCAGCCGTCTTGCTCCTCCTCTCTCTATACCCGACCATCACCTCCGGCGGTCTCGTCCTCGCCTCCCGCCGTCGAGCCCACGCTGTCACCCATCCTCGATTCTCTCTCGCCACTGTCGGGCACAACATCTGTGGTGATGAGTGGCGTGCCGGAGTGCGGCTATTGCGGGCGGCATTTGAGGTGTTGAGGTGGTGGCGATCTGGTGTACCAACGAGCGCCGCGACAGGTGCATAAACAGTGGACGATACATTGTGGCAAGATGGATACGGTGATACATTGTGCAAATCGTGGCGAAGGTGGCATGGTATGTGTTCAGCTGGATGGTGTTGGTGTTCTGTGGTGATGTAGATATGTGGTGTTGGGGTGTGGCGGCGACTGTGGTGGCAATGAGTTGGAGAAATTTGTTAGATCAAGCGTGACGATGCTCAGACCAGCCGAGGTTTCTCCGATTTCTGCATTATTTGAGTGCCTTATGTGATGGATTTGATAGTGGCACCATGGCTGTGGTGTTCTGTTAGATCGATTGGTGGATCCGGAGATGGCAATGGTGGTTGTGGTGGTGTTTTTGGGTTGATTTGTTTGAGGTGGGAGTGTTGTTGTCGATGATGGTGTGGGTGGTTGCTGTGATGGTGGTTTTGCATCCCGGTGAGATGAAGGTAGTCGTGGAAGGTGTTGATTGGGGGTCGACGGGGTATATTTGTGACCAATTTTTTGGTTATTTGTTACCAATAACTTGATTTGTGACTTGTAATTTATTAATTTGTGACCATAAAATTAACTGTGACCAATTATTTTGATATAATTTGTGACTGACAAATGAATTGTGACTAATTAAAATTTTGATTTTGTGACTAATCAATGAATTGTGACCTAAGAAATTTTTGATTTGTGGCCGACAAATTAGATGTGATCAATAACAATTTTGATTTCGTGACCTATAAAATTTTTGATTCGTGATCGAAAAATATATGTGACCTATAAAATTTGTGTTTGTGACTTATAATTTATTGAGTTGTGACCGAAAAATTAATCTGTGACCTATAAAAAATTTTATTCGTGATCGAAAAATAATATGTGACCTATAAAATTTGTGTTTGTGACTTATAATTTATTGAGTTGTAACCGAAAAATTAATCTGTAACCTATAAAAATTTTTATTATAATATGTGACCTATAAAATTTGTGTTTGTGACTTATAATTTATTGAGTTGTGATCGAAAAATTAATCTGTGACCTATAAAATTTTTGATTCGTGATCGAAAAATAATATGTGACTTATAAAATTTTTAATTTGTGATCGAAAAATAGGTTGTGACCAATAATATGATAAGTCGTAACTAAAAATTAATCCGTGACTAATTATTTTTGGATTTGTGACCAATAAACAAACTGTGACTTACAAAATTTTTGAAATGTGATCGTAAAAAAATTTGTGACATAAAATTTTTGATTTGTGACCAAAAAATAATAAGCGACTAATTATATTATTAATTTGTGACCAAATTGTATAGATCTGTGACCGAAATATATTTAATTAATAAAATAATTAATTAACTAATTACATTATAAATATTTTTTAATAAAAATCTGATTTTAGAAATTTGAAACTTGTTTTCTTGTTTTGGAAATGTGCCATAATTAATTTCTTAGTTATGAAATTTTCCCCTGTAAGAATGTCCAAGTGAGTGGGCTTGTTCTTATTGGCCGCCCTACACCTAAATACGTTTTAGGTTCTTGACGGACTTGGATTAACCTATCTTCAAAATACACTTTTCGTCCAGCCCGCAAATAAAATTTGACCAATCTGAGTTTGATTTCTCAATGGGCCAAGTCGCCACACCTAGGCCTTTGCACTATCCTTTTCGGCTCTGTTACTGCATAAAGTTTTGCTATCATATATCCGGGCATGATGGGCATGAGCGTCCCTCTCTTTTGAGGGGGCTATCATACCCAACGCGGGCTCTCTTTTGTAAGGGGGCTGTCATGCTCGGATGTGTAAATAGCAAAATTCTACATGTTAAGCCCTTGTTTTACATAATTTTCTTAAAGGCAACTTACAAATATACCCTAAAATTAGGAGTGTTTTGAATAATCATATGAAAATTTTTTGAAAGTAAAAAATACTATGTAATTGTTTCGCGCGAATAGTCCCTAACAATTAAAAAAGGGATCAGACGATTGTATAAGGAACAGACCTCTTGAGATAAAGTCCAAAAAAGAGGTGTTTTATTGGCGATGATTTACAATTGGAACTTAAACAGAATGCCTCCAAAGGGCGCAAGCACACGAGTACTAAAAGAAATGTTTAAGTTTAAACTAAAAAATCGAAATTACATATTCTCTATTTGAGAGTGTTTGATTCGGGGTTCTTTTTCTCTATGTCTTCTCTTCCTTTTATATTCCTTTGATGATTTCTTCGTGACAACCACTTGGAAACTGCTTGATTGCTGTATAACTACCCACTTTCTTTATAGTGGCTAACTTGTAGGGGAACTGTCGTCCCTAACTGTCGTCATTACTCTTTGTCGTTCAACCGCCTTCAACTGGGCTCCTTGATTCGTGGAATGTGATAAGACCACTCAATAACTGATTCAATAACTGCTATTCTTGATAATTATAATGTTTTATGTTTGCTAAGATCCTGGGCGATTTGAAGGTTTGGGCAAAAACGTGGTCATCGCTCTGGGCGACTGTAAAGTATGCTATTCGCTCAGATTCTGGGCGATGATAATACCGTGTTCGTGGGCTTCCACCGCATTCATCAATAATCCTATTTGGACATTTATTCTGGATTCCCAATTGAGCTTCACTCTTTGGGCTATTTGATTTGAACTACACTTTTAGTGTATCAACAATTATCCCCCAATATGGCAGAATTAATACTAATTATTAATCTTTGCCATATTCACTTTGTATTTTCCAGTAATATTTGAAATTTCCAAGAATTTCAATCATTATTTCCTTCTCCAGTCTGAAAAAGTGCAGCGTTACAAATCCTTAGAAACCAAAAGGACACGCCATTTCATTGCAACACTCAACCACGTCTATATTTCGCGCTTCTTCCTCGCTATTTTACTGTTCATCTTCTTGCTTCTCTGCTACGTTTCTCATGCAAACCTTATCAAAACTGTACTGTACTTTGTTTCCAATGGCGACTTCACAAACTCAATCTGATTATTCCTTTAGTTTCAAAGATTCTCAAAAACTCCTTACTAGGCCATATGTAAATCCAAACTTCCTTACACAAGTTAGTGTTGACCTCAATGAATTCTACTTGGATCCATCATTCAATAATGCCGAAGCCGTCGGACAAGTGGCGATGGGCCAGCTGTTCCCTTGCACTCAAGATACTCCGTTCCTAAACTCTCTGCCATTGAGGTCGATTCGCGAAAAATGTATTTGCACTTGGCCCAAAGTTGATGTTATTTTTCGTAGATGGCATGCACGTCTTGTGAATCATGGCCCCACTAAGGCGATTTTTGATCGTGTTAGCATTTCAGATTTATTAGAAATTACTCTTCAACCCCCAATTTTTGACCCAGTGATTGTTCCTATTGCTTTGAGTTTTTGGTCTTCTGAGTATAACACCTTTATTTTCCCTCTTGGTCCCATGTCTATTACTCTAAGGGACGTTGGAGCCCTTGTAAATCTTCCGCCTTTGGGTGATACCATCTTTCCTGGTATTTTGATTTCCAGTGTTGCCCCGAAATTTGGCAAGAAACTTACTGAGTCTTATTCAAGCCTGCAAAGCTTTTATAATCACTCAAGCGCTGAACCTTCCCATGCTGAGCGTGTGGCCTTTCTTCAGATTTGGCTTTATAAATATATTCTTTGCATGCCAAGTATGAAACCTTCTATGAGCTACTTACCCATAGCGCATGAATTGACGCGTGGTAGGCCTTTGAACTTATGTTCTTTCTTTCTAGCCGCCCTTTATAGAGGCATGACTTCCCTTCAATTTCAACTGAAGAATGGTGCATCTCCCACTGGCAGTGGCCCCCTTTGGTTCACTCAGCTGTGGTTGAGAGCATATTTTCCACCACTTGGTGCTCCATCCATTTCCAGTCATTTTGCTAGCTACTATGGGCTAGCCATTGATCGACTGACCCCTGTAAATATGTCCAGTAGGGACATTTTTTCATTCTTTTATTCCTTAAATTCGATTCCTTCTTTCTTTCCTTTTTCTGCTCATTTGATCCCAGATTATGTGCAACCTCCATCCACCCTAAACAGTGTGAGTGCCTCTCTGCTTGTTTGGGTTCAATTTTTGATTGGGAGGGAATTGTTTCACGATATCTTAACTGGAACCAATGCCAAAGCTGGAGTTGAAATATATGCTCCCCAATTTTTTGCTCGCCAACTTAATTTTGGCCAAACTTGGCCTGTCCCTCCTTGTTACTCCAAAAATTTGACAGACCGC